CCAGCCCCAGTACATGTCTTTAAAAACCTAGTTTGATTCTAAATAATGAAAATATTAGGCATCAAGAGATCAGCAGTTGGCATAATGGCTATGTTGCTGGACTCCCATGTCTTGACCATGGTTTGAGTCCCAGACCTGGTGGCTTAAACTCACACCGGGCATATGTGCGTGCATACCCAAGATCCTGAGAGGAGAATAGAAGAGAAGGGATTGCGGCATGGCCATCCCCCTGGGGGTGATTTCTCACTTTCTGTCTCTCTGTCTCTCTGTCTTTCTGGTGAGCACACATGCACTATAGCAAAAATCTCCCCACTCCCTCCAAAATTAGGCATCAACAGTCCTGGATTCAAGTCCTGATTCTGCCACTAACTTCTGTATTACATTGGGTGTCAGCTCTAATGTCCTAATGCTTCTAAATTCCAGATTCTAGTAGCCAATTATTCAATTTAAGAATTATTTAATTTATTTATTTACTTATTTTTTAATTCGCCCAGAGATGGACAGAGAGAGGAAGAGCAAACGCCCAAGAGAGGGAAAGTGGGAAAGCAAGCCACAAGTCTGGGATTCAAACCGTGATCGACCATGTGGGAGCCCAGCGCCGTCCAGTGCCCCCTAACCACCACACCACCTGCTGGCCCCTATTCTTTTTTTTTTTTGGTAGTACAAATAATGATGTCTTGCTTACATTATAAACAACTGTACTACAGACAGAAATCTTTACATTTAATTTGTAGAGTTCACATGCTCCTAGGAGCATAATATATATTTGGTGACTGAAAAAAAAAGTAGATAGTTATTATAATATTGAACTATTAAACTGTGTATTAATAAAGGAATCAGGGAACCAGCAGTTAGCGTAGTGGCTATGTCACTGGACTCCCACGTAGTCGACCGCGGTTCGCGTCCTGGACCTGGTGGCTTAAAACTCACACCGGGCACGTGTGCGTGCGTGCCCAAGATCCCGAGAGGAGAATGAAGGAGAAGGGATTGCAGCGTGACCATCCCCCCTGGGGGGTGATTTCTCGCTTTCTGTCTCTATGTCTCTCTCTGTCTGTCTTGTGAGCGCACGCGCCCTATAGCGAAAATCTCTCCAAAAATAAAAAATAAATAAATAAAGGAATCACAAATAAAATAAACATTCTCAATCATTTCTGTAATAAAATAACTAATTACCAACCAGGAGTAAAGGGAGATAGTAAGAAGAGAATGCACCTAATTTAAAATGATACATTCAGCCCTGTTTGCTGAAAACTACTTTAATGTTGTGAGAATGACAAAATCATATGTGTAGAGACTTCTTGTTTTGTTTGTTTGTTTGTTTTAGACATAGTGTCTTTCTGTGTTGTGATCCTCCTGCCTCAGATTACCAGGTGGTACTGCAGGTATGTGTCACCATGACCTGCTCTTTTTTTAAACAGGGTTTTGCTACGTTGCCAGGACTTGAGCTCACAATCCTTCTGCCTCATTCTGCTAAGAACCTCAAAGATTGTATGTAGGGCTTTTAATCAGGTGATTTCATTAAAAGGAGGCTGTTATGGTGGGTCCTGATGCAATATGGCTGGCATTTTTGTAAGACGAGGAAATTTGGGGAGTTCCAGCAGCTCCGGTGGCAGGAGGAGTGATAGGGTTTATCTGCTCAACTCCACAAAGGCTCTAGGCATGCCATGGCCTCATCAGGCACCCAGCATGCACCCTGTCCGCAGCCAAGATGCCCAACAGGAAGGTCAGCTCAGCCAAGGGCGCAGCCAAGAAAGAGCCCCCTTGAGATCGGCAAGGTTGTCAGCTAAACCTCCTGCAAAAGTGGAGATGAAGCCAAAAAAGGTGGCAGGGAAGGATAAATCTTCAGACAAGAGTACAAACAAAAGGGAAAAGGGGAGCAGCAAAGGGGAAACAGGCTGAAGTGGCCAACCTAGACACTAAAGATTTACCTGCAGAAAATGGAGAATCTATAAGTGAGGAGAGTCCACCCTCTGATGAAGCAGGTGAGAAAGAAGTCAAGTCTGAGTAATGTCATATACCATGTCTTATCAATGGTCCCTGTCTCCCTTCTTATACAATCCAGAGGAATATTTTTATCAACTACTTTTTAGATGCAAGTTTTGTAGTAGCTCTAGAAACATTTTTAAGAAGAGAATCCCACCTCATCCCATTTTTTAAGTGTAAATGCTTTTTTTAAGAGATGAAATCATTTACTGTTTTTTTTTTTTTTCCAGTACAACCAGAAAATAGTGGGATACTGACTTATAAGAGGCTTTGACTTTCTTATGTGTCAGCTTAACATTCCATAGGTGGGAGCGGGTGAGTAGTTTTTATATCCTAAATACAAAGCATACTAAATGGCAGTTTGGAGTCACTGTCATGCATTTAAAGTGTCTTGAATATTTTAAATTATTTTTATTATGTTTTTTAGTAGTATTGTTTCCTAAAGAAAACCACTCTTTAATTGTTGCTCTCCCTGTCAGAATTGTGTGTGCTCTGTAACATCTTTGGTCGTGGTAGTCCAGTTTTCCTAAAAATTTTGTTAATGTGTTGTGAAAGATTGGAAATTTAGGGACCAGCAGTTAGCGTAATGCCTATGTCACTGGACTCCCTTGTAGTCGACCGTGGTTCAAGACCTGGATTTGGTGGCTTAAATTCACACTGGGCACATGTGTGTGTGTACCCAAGATCCCAAGAGGAGAAT